ACAAGGTATGAAATGTATCTTGCGTATTGTTTGTATTAAGAGTCTGTTGAGAGCCACGTTGTTTCTTTATCTCTACATTATTGTCTTTCATTTCCAGGTTGGTGTGGTCAAGCAGACAGAGACGTCTGCGATCAAGGCCTCAGGGACCAATAGGAACGCTCTGTTCACTCGTCAGCTGAGTGCTCTGTACACCAAGTCCACTCTGGTGGGAGAGGGTATCCTAAAATACTGTTAAAATGTGTGTGTGTGTCTCTCTCTCTATACAAATCTGAAGTGGTGTCCTTGACAGCTTGCTAAGATGTGAACCCGGTCTGCAGACTGAGGGATGTGGAGGAGGGGGCTTGTGGTGATCTGGTGTCGGACCCTCCTGACAGCTTCCTGCTGTGTATCAGTGAGAACTGGGACAAACTGAAGAAGCAGCTCACTGTCGGGCTGGTGGTGAGTCTGATGAGTACTCATTCTGAACGACTACAGATGCTTTCAGGCTACTGAGGTTGTTCAATTTTAAGCATATTAATAGTTATAGTTCACAACATTACATCTCAGCTTGTTTGCCAATACACATATAGGTGATGTAATTGATTGATAAGTGTCAGTTTATTTGAATGTTATCTCAGTTCTGTTTCGCTCCGTGGTTAATGAGGTGCCACAATCTCATCTGTGGAGAAGGATTGGGTGATTATAACCGCAAGATAATGACAATTTGGCAGTGGCCAGAGATGTGTTGAGCATTTAATCCACTGGATCAGCTGGAAACACATATTCCCATCTGGTTTTTATATTATATATAATTTTCACTAACACATTTATGTAAAGGGTAGCATATCATGATATGTATGTTTAACAACGTTGAGAAATTACATATGCTTTAATGGAAGATTGTATACATATAACCAAACCCTGATATGGGGAATAAAGTTATGCTAGAGTAACTAAATTACTTACATCTCACCTTCTCATTGTTTTTCTAAAGAGCCTCAACTGAAATCTTATTTCCCATCATGCTGACCTACTTTATCTTTTCTATGGTGCAGTTACAATGAGGTAGACTTTGAGCACAAGCTGTACTTGTTTGAGATAATCTGATTTCGAGGAGAAGCATGTCCACGTGAAATGGAATGACCCACTTAAAAAAAACAAGAGAAACAATCACTTTGCCATACCTAATATGAGCAATGTGACGGCATTATTTCATAGAGACATAACATTGCCCCTGAAAAGCAACCTAATTCTATGCCTGTGTTTTTGTATGTAGGCGGTTCAGCCCAGCACAGGAGACGTGTTACT